CTTGAAAAGTTGATGTATCTAGATGACACCTACGGGGTCAACGGGCCCCTCGACTCAGTCCACAAGCTGTATGTGCTGCTCGGGAAGGTCGGCAGCGGAAGCAGCTGCATCAGAAAGCTGGAATGGCTGTTGTGTTACTTCGTGGATCTCTTCGACCACGAGGCGCTGACGCTCGACCAGATGTCCAAAACCCAGCTGGCCGGGTCCGGCTCCGGCGGCGTGCAGAAAGGCTTCGCGGACGTCGTGATGGCCAAGCTGGACATCTTCGAAGAGCTCATGAAGTGGGCGACTGAGGTCGGCATTCAGAAAGACGACTTGGAAAAGATCCGGGATATCAGTTCCTCTTTGGAGGTCTTTCGCCAGCATGTGGGACGAAAGTGGTACAGCAAAGACAAGGTGCCTGCATGCACCTGGAGGGCGTCGATGCGGCAGTCGTCGTCGGAGTTTTTGTCGCTCATCGAGGACTGTGTCTTCTTCAGCTTGTATGACGAGGCCATCCATGCCTGGTTGTTAAGTAAGAAGTCAATCGCAGATCTCCTCACCTGCAAAACCGTGAAGGATGTCTTGGATGAGATCCAGGAGATGCTGGAGCAGGAGAAGGCAAAAAGTGGTGAGCGCCCCGACGGCTCCAAGACAGCAGTGGTGCAGGCTGACGACGAGGAGGGCGATGAGCTTGGCACCAAGATGCTTGGTATCGAGGGGGACCAGGACCTGACGGCATTGCGTAGCGAGCTCGCTGCCTCGGAGAACCCGCAGGACTCGGAAGACCTGAAGAAGTTGGACAGGTATGTGCGTCAGGCGCAGTCCACCGTGGGTGCGTTTATTGCACTGATACCGGAGACCTTGACGGATGACGAAATCATGGAGCATCTCAAGCAGAGCGCAGCAGGCAGCATGGTGCCAGATTTGGGGAAGAAAGAACACATCCTCATCTGGTATGCGGCCTCCGAGTGTGGAGAAGCGACAGCCCAGCCTCACCTGCGCGTCCCGGCCCTTCGCAACCGTGGTGACCACTTCCTCAGGCTGTTCCGCTTCTGCCAGATGCGTGGGAAGGAAGCGACCGGCGAGCTGACCGATGGAGACGTGTACTGCGTCTCTGACTGCGGCAAAGACGGGAACAGGTACGCGTTGCTCAGCCGGTTCATTTCGCCCGCCACCGGGGAAGTCGACCCGAAGACAGGCAAACCAAAGAAACCCGAAGCTCTCAAGAAAAGTGTCCGCACAATGACGGCGACCCTCTCGGAGCAGTCCTTGGCGAAGCGCCTGGAGAAAGTGCGTGGCTTCGCAGGCCTCAACCAAGTCGTGAGGATCCACGTGGTGACCCGGCAGCCACTGACGCTCAACCAGCATTCCCGCCTGCACACACCCAACGCCTCCAACAGGGGAAACCTGTTGGGGCCCTTCTTGGCCGACGACTGGGACAACGATGAGGAGCAGTGGCGGCTTCCCGTGAAGACCAAGCTTCAGTTCTTTGGAAAGGGCGGAGCTCGCATCCCAGTCGGAGGAACCCTGGAGGGTGGAAAGGACTCGGACGAGGAGCTGGATTGGGAGGACTTGGAGGTCAACAAGCGCTTCAAGCCGCGAGGCAAAAACGATGAGGAACCGTTCTTATTCCATTCCACCGCGAAGGCCACCTTCGAGGAGATCATACACTGTATGGACGTGGTCGGAGTGATCAGCCTAGGAGCGGACGGCAAGCTTGCCGAAGTTTGCATCTCCAATCGCATCCCCTTCTGGGGATTATGCTTCACACCCGAGCACGCCGAAGGACTGCGGGCCAGATTGGAGAAAAGGGCTTTCAGGCTCATGCAGAGCGACAAGTCCAAACTCTTTGTGCCTGGACTGAAAGTGATCGTGGATAAGAACGCCGTGGAGCCCGCGGAGACGGAGACAAAGCCCAAGAATAAGAGGAAGGCCAAGGCAAAGGCAAAATCGACTCCAGGCGTGATAGAGCTTGGCGTGGAGGACCCGTCTCCGCCGGGTGAGACTGACCCCAAGGTGCCGAATCCCAAGAAGCAGAAGAAGGACAAGACAGAGGAGAAGGAGAAGTCCAGCATCATGGCAGAGATCGAGGCGCTCGTGGGCGCAGCCGGCAGCACAAAGTAAAGCCTTAAACCTGTTCTGATGGTGGCCCTCCGGGAGGTTTAGTGATGCAAAAGAGACATAGAGGCCAGCGAGCAGTGTGCTGTCCCCGCCCGGAGAGATGCATCATCCGCGAGGTGTGTTTTTCACACCCTTGTCTTCGTACAGTTCGCCCGACGTCAGACCCTTGCATGGCAGCTCGTTTCTGTGTTGTGCAGTGACTCCAGTATAGGATTCTAGCTGGGAGCAGGAAGTGCTATAAGCTGAGCTGTCCCATCTGGGCCTCTACAAGTTTTCGGTGCCAAGCCCATTTCCCTGTGGCCATAGACAAAAGGCGACGCTGTCATTTCGGCAGACATACCTAGAATATGCATGCAACTCGCCTTCTGTCTGTCTCGGTTACAGCAGGGTGCATGCCCCAAAATCGGCCCAGCACAGGCGCAGAGCATGTAGGCTCTGGGCTGGTGGAAGTAAACCACCTTAATGGCATCGCTCGCGGCCCCAAGGATGAAAGTGATGTTGGATCTGAGCCATGCTCTGTATGCAGCTAGTGCTGACTGATTGCTCGGCTGTTGCTTCTGAGGCCCTCTCGATGCTGCGGATGGAGGCCCCTAGCTGCTCCTTTTTCTCAGTGCGCTCGGGAAGCAAGACTTGTGAGTGAGGGGTACATGCTCTGGAAGCCTTATTCTGAAAGCAAGAACGTTGAACGCGATTCCTGCTGGCTTATTCCAGTCCGTGGAGCCTGAGGTTTTGCAGAGGTCTAGGTTGCATAGCTTCACGTGGTTCACTGGATGGTCAAGGTGTGCAGGCCTCGGCAGAGAAGACTCCGTGTGGCGTCCGACTGCACCGGCTTGAATTGTGCAGCACTTGCTTTGGAATCTCTGCAGCTCCCTTACGAGGAGGCGTGGGCCAGTGATGCCTCCCCTGCCTGCAGGTCTGTGCTGGAAAGCAACTATAGCATCGCTCACATATACAATGATGCTAGGGAGGTGCCATCAGACATGAGGGGACCCATTGATTTCTACAGCGCTGGGTCGCCTTGTCCAAGTTTCAGCCGCATAGGACTGCAGCAAGGAATGGCTAGCAAGGACGGTCAAGTGCTTCTGGTGGTGCTGAGGAATTTGCTGCGACATAGGCCGCGGACCTTTCTTCTAGAACAAGTTCCGGAATTCATGTCACGACACGAACCTGCCTTCAAAAAGCTGGTGGAATGTCTGAAAGCCCTCAAGGACCCGAGCACCGGAGAGCCGTGGTATGACAAAATTCATGTGTCCGTTCTTAACTCCCTACATCACGGAGTTCCTCAAAGCCGATCCAGACTCTACGTGGCAGCAGTGCGTCGGCCTGTCAGAGAATTCCTCTGGCCGGTTGCAGGACCAGCTGCGGCCCTGGATGGTGTCCTGGATCCACTGGAGCCTGGAGGACGGCAGCCCGTCAAATATCCCGATAGTGACACACAGAGGCGCAACCTCCTGGCTGCCCTGCAGCATCTCCGTGACGAGGGAATCGACTTGAAGAAAAACAGCGCAGTGGCCGACCTCGGCCACGGCTACACTGGGAAACATGGCGTATGTCACGGCTACTTCCCGTGTCTCACCAAAAGCAGAGCTGCGCAGAACGCCTACTGGATTTTCAGCCGCCATCGCCAGCCTCGCTTGCCAGAGTTGTGTCGTCTGCAGGGTGTGCGGCCAGACCGCCTATCCATCCCCGAACAAGTCAGCCACAGACAGTTCCGGCAGATGTTAGGGAACTCTTTTACAGTTCCCGTGGTGGCCGCAATCATGGACAGGCTATTCTTCAGTGCAGGTTTGACAGCTCAGCCAGTTTCCTTCTCTGAGGGCACCGGCGCCAGTGGCATGGTCTTCTGAGGGTGTGGGCTTTTGGCCGACGGTCTTCTGTCGGGAGTAGTATAGACAAATCAGAAGGGTCTGCCGGCAGCCAAGGGTTCTACAAGACTGACAGGCCGCTACCGTAGATAAGGCCGCCGGCAGAGTCTCCATCAGCAGTGAGTTTGTCCAAGTCTCTGGCGTCAGAGAGAGAGAGAGAGAGAGAAAGAGAGAGAGAGAGAGAGAGAGTGAGAGAGAGTGAGTAAGAGAGTAAGAGAGAAGCGAGAGAGAGAGAGAGAGAGAGTAAGAGAGTAAGAGAGAAGCGAGAGAGAGAGACGGAGAAGGAGAAAGAGAGAGAGACTGAGAGAAAGAGATAGACATATAGGTATTTGAGACAGACAGACAGACAGACCAGGCATGCAGAGACTTCCGACAAGGCATGCAGAGACTTGGGGAGTCGGGCTCTCGAGTGTTACCTACTACTTTGAGGCTTGGGGTTGGCTGTGAAACAAGCGCGGTGCAAAAGCCTGGAGTAGGGATGCTGTGTACTGAAGCACCTGGAGCTACTGTGCAGCCTTGCTGGACAGGTCGGACGGAACCTTCGGGTCTGATCCAGAATACAGGCCTGGGCCTCAAGTTTGTGGTATGCGACCGAGAGGAGGAATGTCATTTTTTTTTTTGCGGTGTTCCGTGACTAACTTCCCACGAGAGCTGCAGTGTTTCGGATGCTCGCTTGTCTAGCAGTAGGGTAATTGTTTCTCGCATGTCTGCCGAGTCTCACCTGTGAAGGCGCCCCACGGCTTCGGCGAAATCGCTGGTGGTCCACGTCGAGGTTCTCCTGAAGTCACGGTCGTGCAAGAAAGTCAACACAGGATAGTCTAGCTGTCTGTCCAGTCCACATCTATCTTGGACGGCTACATGCTGGCACCAGTGAGTAGAAGATAGCAGAAGCTGCCCAGCACACAAGCAGAGCCTCTACCATCTCCCTGTTTTGCAGCAGTAGCAGCAGCACTACTCTCATGATTCGGTCGATCTCGCGTGCGTGTGAAACATGTTAGCGTCCGCTGCTCGTCCAACCTTGAAAACACAAGATTAGGAACGCGCAGTCTTCGCGAGTCCACTCCCACAGTTGCAACAGAATTTGTCTTCCGGTTGGCACAGGTGGCTGCAGGAATTGCAATGGATCGTCGTTTCCAGTCTAATCCCACAGTTGCCACAGAATTTGTCTTCCGGTCGGCACAGGCGGCTGCAGGACTTGCAACGGATCGTCGTTGCCGCCGTGGAGGCCTTGGCACCTTGGACGGCCGAGACCACACCCCCCATCATGCCTTGGACCGCAAGCCTTTGCACTTCTGGCGGAGCTTGAGCAATGTAGCAGTTCTGGAGCACACTAGGTGTCGTGGCAGTCAGGGCGCTTGCAACGCTGATGGGGTTTCCACTCTCCGAAAGCATGTTCACACAAGACTTTTTCCCACAGTGGGACGAAAGCTTTGAGAGGTCGACGTCCTCGAAGCAGTGAGCTCGGCCAAGGCTGCGTTCGCGGTCGATCTGTGCCTTGAGGATCTTCTGTGCATGCTCCCACACATAATTGTAGGCTCTAGCTGTGACAGGGCGGTGCGGGTTTCGCTCATGCTTTCCGCCGAGCATTTGCCCAGGGAAGAGGTAGGACGAGGTTCGTTCTCGCATGTCTCGTTGCAGTTCTTGAGCTGGCCAGGGCCACTGAGAATCATTTTTATCGGAACACAGGGGTCTCTTCGAGATCCAGTGCCAGAGCAATGTAGCCACGCCAGCATCTAGAACGCTACACCGCGCAGTCGTCTTCAGATTCACGTCTGGCCAGGTAATGGTTGGCTTGCCCACTTCTTCGGGCTGCAGGCCGGAGAGCCAATCGGTGCAGATCTGTCGAACTGCGTCGACCCGTTCCCCTGTAGAGACTGATATGAGGAGCATCACTGCTGCCCAAGGCGCCCCAGCCAGACAGCACATTATCCCAAAGAGGTGTGCCACCTGTGTTTGTGAAAGGCTTTCACGTTGCCCGTAGGGTCTCCTTGCTGAACGCTTGCCTTTGGTCATGTCAAGATGTCGTTTCGAGCAGAAGCGTGCCACCTTTGCAGACTTGTGCATGGTGCGAGCTTTCGTCTGATCCACTTTGCGGACGGGCAGACTGAAGCTGCTGTTTTTCACATCAGTCTGGGATCTGCAGTTCTTGTAGCAGCACCTCTGCTTGCAGGTCGAGCCAGCCTGCCGCTTGGGCCCGCGTCGTGGTCGAGAGGCCATGGCTATTGTGTCTGATACAAGTGTTCCTTAAAATAGCATATACTGTGTGGATACGATGATCTCGCCAGTGCACGGGAAGCTATTTTCTTCAGCCATGTCGACATCTGGTCAGAAAACCAGACTTTGCATGCATTGCTGGTTTCCTTCAGACTGATAAGCCATCTCCGAATCCGCTTCCTAAATCACTTCCGAATCCCCTCAGTTTCGGAAGCGGCACTTCCGAAGTCTGGTTTCGGGTTGTTCTGTTGGTTCAATAGAGGGGTGTCGGGCTTTCTGCCTGGCTTCTAGCTGGTACCGATTAAACTTCCCTGTGGCATTAGGTTGGGCAAACCAGCTCCCGGCCTTCAGCCGAGAACCAAAATGCCGGCCGTGGCCATGGCTGCTGCTAGTGCTACGGCTGCTACGGAAGTTTGGTGCCGCACCAATCTACGGAAATCATGGGACTCTACCGACGCAGCGCGGGACCCTAATCCCTATAATGCCCCTGATGCCTCAGCTCTTTGATATCTGAAGTGTGCTCAGGCTGGCACCTCTCGGTGGCACTGTCATAGCCTCAGCAGACAGTGTTCCACACCGTGTTCGAGTGCAGTGCATAAATGACTGGCTGACATGCGACTGCCTGAACTTCACATGCTATGGAACATCCGCACGTTTCCGCATATCAGAGGCAGCAAGACCAGTTGTTGGTATGCCAATCATGCTATGGAACATCCGCACGTTTCAGCACATCAGAGGCAGCAAGACCAGCACGAGCACAAGCATCAGCAACACCAGCACCAGCACGGGCACCAGCAACACCAGCACGAGCACAAGCATCAGCAACACCAGCACCAGCACGGGCATCAACAACACCAGCGCAGGCATGGCTTCGGGGTCGGACGGCTCCCGGGCATGGAACTCCTACTACGGTCACTACGTTGACCGCCGTAGTGAAAACGCCCGGAAACGAGAGACCGATGCTGCGCAGAACCGCGACGACCGAAGCGCGCGCCTCGTGAAGCAGCTCAAGGAGAAGACTGCGGAGCTGAAGGAAGCCGAGGCGCAAGACACAGAGGGACTAGGAAGTAGCATATGGACAGAGCAAGAGACAGGGACGAGAAAGAGAGGGCGAGCCAAGGCGGAACATAGAGATAATATAACGACGCCAGGCTGAATGTGGCGAGCTGCGGCAAGAGCTCGCCGACTCTGAGGCGGGACGAAAGGGAGGGAGGGAGAGAGAAAGAGAGATTGTGCAAGCAAGCAAGCAAGACACCAGGCGAACGTGGCAAATCTGCGAGCCTACGAGGTGTCCGAGGCGGGCAGACCTTTTGGATTTCAGAGGAACAGTGATTGGGAAAGACACAGACACAGCAGAGGCACGCAGCCATGAGCAAACGCAGCAGTTGCTTGTGCGAACAGATGTCGGACACTCAGCAATGGCGACAATTTATCTGCTGTATTCCGAGATGTGTAAACTGAGGCCTTCCGAATCGGGAACCTGGCGGAATATCGTACAGCTAGCTGCGAGAAGGCCAGGAGAAACCGTTTGGAGCTGATCTGGCTTAGCAAGACTCGACGACAAACATCCCAGAAAAATGAAGCTATCCTGGAGGAGGCCGCCCTCGAAGCCAAGGAGAGCATGAAGAAGCTTCTGTCCATGCAGGAGGCGCTCAGATTCTCTTAGATAAAGCTTCCGTGCTGAACAACATGTGCAGGTGAGCTTCCACGAAGAGGTGAAGCGAATGGAGGCCACTGGATTCTCCATTTCCCCTTCTCAAGCACCCGGCACCATGCTGAAGGCGAGCGCAGCGACGGCCCAGAAGAGCTTCCACGAAGAGGTAAAGCGGATGGAGGCGAAGGACGAGGCAGGAACCGGGTAAGTTGCGGTACGTATTGAGCTGAAGGATCCCTGCACAGGAGAAGACAACCGAGTTGCGGGCTCTTCATCGCGAGATCGAGGCAAGCGGAGCCCAGATGAGAACAGCAACTAAGCAGCAGTGGGAGTGTGAGTGACTTGCAGCGATTCGGAACCCAAAGCTCAGGAAATGGGCGTGCTCGAGAAGACCAGGGATGCTCACCGCGTGATCGACCGGGCCAATGCGGTCTTGCAGTCAGACAAGGCGGCTGCTGCTGCTACTGCTGCTGATGCGACGTCTGCGACTTCTGCTTATGTCAGGATCGGCTCGCGGTCCGCAATCAGGAGAAGATGGGCCTCATCCGGACGCTCCAGACGGAGTTGCGGGAGGCTGTCTCATCCAGCTAAGAAGGTGTTGCTGTCGGAAGGATAACACGGCAGGCCAATGCAGAGGCTGGAAGCCGCAGCCGGAGCGAGGCACAGCTCAGACGAGAGCTGCAGGAGCACTGGGAGCCTGCAAACACGTGTCTTTCTTGTAGTTCAAGTCCTGCACCGCGCAGGACCAGGAGGAGCACGCAGAGTCCAGGATCCTCCGCATTGAGGCCTCAACAGAGAGGCTGGAATCGCACATTCTTGTAGTTGAAGTCCTGCACCGCGCAGGACCAGGAGGAGCACGCAGAGTCCAGGATCCTCCGCATGGAGGCCTCAACAGAGAGGCTGGAATCGCACACAGTGCGGCTCCAGAATGCCAAGGTCGGCGGGGTCGCAATCGGGAGTGGAAGCAGTGTCGTAGAACCCGCGAAGGAAGGACTCGGGAACGAGCTTAAGGAAGCAAGGTCTTCAGAGGTGGGGGGCTGCGCTTGGTTGCGTCATAAATCATGAACCAGCGAAGCTTTCCGCGTAGGCCGTGGCCAAGAAGGAGATCGAGACCTTCCGGAAAGCTCAGGTGGGCTTCCTTCAGTGCCGTAACGGCGGTTATAGAAGACATTCTTTTCCTCGCAGGCCGAAGCGACAAAGGAAATGAGCGAGCTGCAGGAGGAGCTGGCCACATCAATTTTGGAAGAGGCGGGGTGCAAAACTTGCGAGAATGAACAAGCGTTAGCTTTCCTGTCAGCATCAGCATCCTTGTCAGGATCTCCTCCGAACCGCTCTCCGCGAACGCATGGAGGCATCTACTAAGCCGAGCCCTTTCAGCCCGCTGCCGACGAGTCTGCGGCTGCCCACGGAGTTCGAGGCGGCGCCCACATCCCCAGCCGCTACTAAGCTCCACTGAGCTACGTTATTTATCTTTAATGTCCACTCTCGTGTACTGAGGAGATGGATGATGCAGAGGCACCAACCCCGGTGCCCCCCCCGTTAGCTTTGCCGGGAAGTGCTCCCTGGACTGCATCATGAGTGACCACCGAGCTGATGCCCCACCGGCCCACCGGCCGATCCTAGTTTTCGCTCAGGAGAGCCCAAACACGTCCAACAAGCGTCCGCTGAGCCCGACTGCACGGGCGGCTGAGTCGAAAGACTCCGCGACTTAGCGTAGCATCTGAGGTTCCAACAGAGGTGGCTGATATTCTCTTCTTTTCTCTTGTAAAACATCCAAGGATGAGGAGCCTACTTCCGTAGTGTCTCCACAGACAGATGGAGGCAGCGAACACTGACATGGGAGGGACTCTCAGCAGCATGTCGAGTCTGGAATGGCAATGGTGCTCCAGGTGTCTTATTCTTGCTACGGTCTACAGTCGAGATCAGCCAAAGGTTTTGATATTAACTGCAGCACTCTGATCCCGTCTCAGGATCCTGCCAGGAGCTCTCTTCCATAACAGGTCCTTGCGCCTCAGCCGGCAATACATGTACGGACTACGACTGAGGCCAAGCCGACCGAGAAGTCCCAAGCTACATTGCTAGTGAATCTGAGGCTCATCTCCGGATGCTGCAGCCGCTACTTGCGATTCTGAGTTGTCCGAGCGGAGGCGATAATGCTGGACTTTAGCACTCCTGGAATCTACAACTACTCAGACAGGTATGCTAACACATCCCGCAGATCTGCACACCTAAACAATTCTGGACGGCTGGAGTCCATGCCAGGACATCATGCGAAGTCTGAGACAATGAGTCTGAGACCGGTGTGATCCAAAAAATGACCTGCAAGCTCTTGCACGTTGCACTCATGTTCCCCTTGCCAGCCGTCGCTTGCAACGAGGAACTCAGACTCTCACTTCTGCAAACTTCCATGCGTCCGGAAACATGCATGCTGCCGAGGCTGCGACAGCGACGGTGAGAGGAAGCTGTGCCCTCAATGCAGTTCTGCAGTAGTTTGTTCATGTTCCTCCTCTGTGTGAAACCTGTTCTGATCTCTGCGGCTCAACCTGATGTGGCACTTGGCTGAGGCTTTGACATGAAGACTTTCAGAGGGACGATGAAAGCCCTCTGCGCCCAAGGGCGAAGATGAGCCGCGGACCAACAGAGAGAGAGCTAAGAGAGAGACCAAGAGATGAGAAAGGGACAGAGACTTGTCGTCTGTTGCAGTCGTCTGCGCCTCACGGCACACGGGTCGTCTCTGCTGTGGTCGTCTGCGCCATCACGGCGCACACGTCGTCTCGTCTGTCTTCGTCGTCTGCGCCATCACGGCACAATCTTTGTCTGCGCCGTCACGGCACATCTTTCGGGTAATAACACGCGATGCTCTTACTCAAACTTCTCCCAACTGTTTGACCTGCGCCATCACGGCGCATTCACCACAGCTTGCGCCATCACGGCACAAACTTCTGCCCTTCGCAGGCATTCACCTCTTTCCGGTCCTAACACGATGCTCTTACTCAAACTTCTCCCGATGACTCCTTCTGCGCCATCACGGCACACGTCTTCGTCGTCTGCGCCATCACGGCACACTCTCGTCGTCGTCTGCGCCGTCACGGCACAACTTAGCTCCTTGAACTTCTCCCCGAGCTTGCCTGCAGGCCCCTGAAAAGAACGCGGGGTTCGGGACTTAGGGGCCTTCAAGCTAGCTGCTCGAAGATCACACATGCACCTTATAAGTTTCTGGAGTTTAGGATTGTAGGATGCTCGGGCTAAGGGTTACGGCGTAGGCTTCTTAGCTGCGAAATATGTGTTGTGATATCCATGCATGATAGATACGGATCGAAAGCCTGGGACTGTAGGATGCTCGGATTAT